AATCAGTCTGATGAAAATGATGCTTCCATATTATGACCCCCAAGCAAGGTAATTTTTAAGCAAATCAATGCTATGTATAATAAGTGCACGTAAAATATTCGTAAACAGCTCTCGAAGTAACACGAACTTAAAGTACATTAGTGTGCCATTAGAATAACTATGTGACCCAACAACTTTTTTGAGGTTTCTCCAATTTAGTGTGTATTAAACTTCGTCTTGTAACAGTTCCTTCAAAAAACCTACTTTGATGATTTATTGATTGAAATAATATTAACATTATGTATAATTTTATACACGTATATAAATTAACGAACGTAAACACTGAATACTACCTCATTAAAGTTGTAGGATAGTACTCAATGTGCTTATTTAAGGATATTAGAATAGTAAATACAGGTTCCTCTCTACCACAACCTTGATCTACTGTTGTTGATGTATCTAAAGTATTTTTCTATTCAAATATCACAATCTTTGAATTGTATGTGATAGCGGATAATGAGCAAGGCAGGTGGAAGCAGGTGTTAAATCAACTTAAACATATTTATCACGAGGAAAATAGTTATTATCCATTTATATTAAGATGTAGTTATGTACTCGAATAAATATAACTTTTTCAAAAATGCTTTTTTATTTACAATTCTCTAGAGCCACATTTTTGTTTTACTACAATTCTTAGCAAATGTAGAAACTCATAGGCAATCCTCCTACAGAAGCTTTTCTACGATTTATCCGAACTATCAAACTTGATATTGAGCTTTATCTCATTAACTTTAAGAATCATAATCGCTTGCGAAAATTCGACACTGGTAACTGGCCCAGTTTATGCTGTACATAATTTTATTATGTACCTGATATTGCTATTGCGCTATACATTCGAAAGAAGAAAAGCGATATAAAATATAATAGTTGAATAATCAATTTAAGACAAATGTTACTTACTCCATGAGTGATTAACTGAACATAATTAAATATATATGTTCCCTCCCCCTACAAGGATTTGATAAGCACCAAAGGAGCACAAAGCAGGTGCGCTGTCATCATACAAACATTGCCTCCTACCGGGATTCAAACCCTGGACCTAGGAGCAGACTTTATATATATAGTAGTAGTATAGTTACCTCTTAGGCGCTTAGCAGACGACGGGGCGGGGCGGGCCGGTCAATTTCGCCGCGAATAATAGCACAAAGTGAATCCTATACTTCAAACGCACACAGAGGGCAAAAAGACCGCGCCGCAGGTGCCCGGCCGGCAGTGGCGGCGCGGCATGTCCGCGGCTGCCCGCCGTAGATCATACAAACCAGTTTATATGCAGTAACGCAGACGGCGGCGCGGGGCGGTCAGCTCAGTCCGCTCAACGCGCTTGTAGAACGAACGTTCTGAACTGACCGCCTCTGCCCGTCGTGTGCTTTGTGTACGCGGCGCGGGCAGCCGCAGACATCGACGGGCAGACGCGGTCTTTATTGCTTCACGGACAAAATGCCCGCCCCGCCCCGTCGTCTGCTCAACGCCTTATTGGATATTTAAATGAAATGTGTTCACGATGTCTATGGGTGTAGCTATCTCTAAACTAACACCGGCTCAGGAGGTATCCAGCACGTCCTGTTAAGGAGGGAGGCAGCATCATCCACAAGCGTTCTACCTATGGGGATAGTGAAGTGGTAGGTTGAAGTATAGGGCTTAGTAGAGGCAGTATCATACACAAACGTTTCTCGGTATAGATAACTTTTTTTTTATAGATAGGTCCGACAAATGACTCCACCCCACCTGATGTTAAGTGAAGGTGAAGTCCAGACGCGAAGATAGCTGATACAGCAGTTCTAACTGCCACACCAGCCATCCTCACCCTGCCGGCCTGCATGTTGCTTCTTCATATGGGGATAGTGAAGTGGTAGGTTGAAGTATAGGGCATAGTAGAGGCAGCATCATCCAAAAACGTTCCTGGATCAGATACCTACCTAAGGGGATAGTGAAGTGGTAGGTTGAAGTAAGGGGCCTAGAGACAGCATCATCCACAAACGTTCTTTTAACAGTGAGGTAGGTACTTACCTTTTTTTAATGTTTGGAAAATGCTTTACGCATCCTCCTTCCATCAGAAGAAGCAAAGCCAATGAAAAGAAAAAAAAAATGGGTGCGTGTACTTATGTAGGCGCGTGAGAAGTTATCCTTCTTTGGCATCGTTTAAAATTAGTTTTTAATTGCATGCAAATAATTAATTACAATAAATTAATAAAAAGTCTGGAAAAGGACACAGTCAATAAAGTTCAGTTTTAATTTGAAAAAATAAATAAATAATCAAAATATTCAATTAAAATCGCTACTGAATATAATTTATTAGAACATATGTGATTTGCACTTGTATGAAACTCAAACACGTATTCCGAATATACAAACTAGAAACATGCGGATAAATATTATAAATATGAATACCTATAACTGTTACTTTATTACAAAAAATAAAGATGTGGTTTTTGGTTCTACTACACCAATGGTCAAGAGATGGCGCTGTAGTCTCCTGAATCGCGCTTTGGTTCCGTTGTTCCAGATTAATAAATACTTTTGATATTATAAATATGAATACCTATAACTGTTACTTTATTACTAAAAATAAAGATATGGTTTTTGGTTCTACTACACCAATGGTCAAGAGATGGCGCTGTAGTCTCCTGAATCGCGCTTTGGTTCCGTTGTTCCAGATTAATAAATACTTTTGATAGGCCTTCACAATGCAGTCATTAGCACCCACTAAATAGAGATTCTATTTCTATTTTGTTGGTAGATTTTCTTAATGTGCGGGAAACACAAAATATTACATTTTGTGTTACAGTGATGCGCGCGCATCTTAAAATTTCACTCTCATACTCATCATTTTTTCATAACGCGCCTAAAGAAGTATAACTTCAAAATAAGAGCGCGAGGCATTTGCAACCCTTCGACGACGGTCAGAAATAACAAAACGGTATTGTTAGCGATAATGATGAAGCCATTAGCCGATTGACCCCCTGGCTCAGAGAGGATGAAACAACCTCCCCCTTAAGTACAACCCCGTTTTCCGCCGAGAGGTTAACCTGGAAAACTGATATTTCTTGTTATCATACATTAATTATATTGAAGAATCTCTTATAATCAAGATTCTAGAAGATGGAATCTGATATAGTAGCATTTTTTAAAAGAAAGTTGTCTAGATAACTTGATCAGGGAATGTAAGGGGGCGTACGTACACATGTAGCATTTAACTTGGCTGAATAAGTTAGTACATCATATTACCAGATAATTTCTTAAATAAAACACCATCTACATCTGGCCATTCAACAGGTAGATCGCACAACAGTTTTGTAGAATGTTGCGATAAAACAAGAAAACGAAAAATTCAGAATCTAATATCTTCTACTATAGCCCTAAGGAAATTGCACATGAATGTTCACCCTTCAAAAACATTGTAAAAGGGACTCATAGAAAGTACTTTCACGATAGCTGCAGAGTTAAATTCTTGTTAATAAAGCGTCCACGATGTCTGCCGCTGACTGTCCATTTTTATTTAATTTGTTACATAACCTCCTTAAAAAGAACTTAATTTCATTTTTTGCACCTTCCGAAAATTGCACATGAGGGTAACGACTTAGTATAAAAGCTAAAACAGCATCAATTCGCTCATTTTTGGCCTTAGAGGTCCAAATATCAGAAAATTGTATTTTTGTAAATTCGGCGGTCATTCTGAAAACAGAAAAAAATGTATAAAGTTGTATCAATTGTTCTTAAAAGTTAAGAAGCTATAAAATAAAACCACAAGAACAGCGGGATATTCAGTAATTTTTTTCTACACATCTTTTATTTTGCAAATCATCCCAAAAAATGCTTAATTTTACTATGCTTTCAAATGATGTTATTAGATCAATGTTTTAAAACTATAACTTTACAAAAATACACTAACAGCCCCTAAAATATATACACAATAAAATAAAACTAATAAACAAGACTGCACGTTAATTTAATAAGTTATCCTAAGTGAAGGTAACACACATTAATGTGGTTGTTCATGTTGTGAGAATACAACAATTATGACCTACCCACTTTAAAAAAGAATATTATTATTGTTTGACCTTACTCCAATAATTTCTAATATGTAGCTGTATCAAATAGGTTTAAATAAGTTATACTATATCATCAATTATTGAAAAAAAAAATGATTTAAATCCCCCTAGATTACGTAATTACCACACTGTGCGATGGGGTAACTTTGCACCTGGAGCAAACTAAACCCAAACATAAGCTGTTCAAAAGTAAACATTTTTTATTCATTGCAAGTGGTTATTAATACACTCAAGGAAAAGGGGAGAAAGGGATATGTATCTTTAAAGAAGAAGTCGCTAAAATTCCGGACGTGGCCTAAACCCGTCGATGAAATTCAATACGATTGCCAGGATATATTGGGATGTATTGATGTCCCTAAATTAGTACCTGCCTTGAAATATATTCCGTTCCTGAACTGACCGCTTGGTTTTTTTTTTAATTATAATTTTAAAGTTTTACTTTTTGATAAGTTTATCTCATTAGTTTATTTTCAACTGATTTTTGTCCAGTATTTATAAACAGTTTCTAGTTAAGATAGTATTGCCTATTATAAATAAAAAATGTAAAAAAACTAATGAAACAAAGTGATTTTGTAACTAAATTTAAGAATATAACATTATTTCTTTTAAAACACTGTTTATCTTAATTTTTACCTATTTTTCGACCATTGATTCTATCAAAAAAGGTAAAGCGTAATATTACTGTAGCATAGTTTGATTAAGGAAAGCATAACTTTGCTCAAAAAGCTTCTACAATGGACATTGTTTGCTGAATATACCCATGGTTTTAAATATATTATGAAATACTTAATTACGTTGATTTAACTTTAAAAATATGTTAGATAACATATGATTCTTTAAATTAATACATCTGAATATATTTCATACTTAATAGTGTAAACAATATTCATAATTCCCTTTTTTTGAAGCAAAGTAGGACCATTTTACCGGTACCTAACATTACAATCATAACACAAACATTTGAAAATTCTTAATACTTCGTTGCCTTTAGTAGGTATCGATACTTTTCTTCACTATTTTACGATTGAGCCAAGTTACCTAAAGGTGCTGTTCGACGGCCCTTGTTGTCGCGGGTGTGGTCTCTCACCGCGCATGTTGCCAAACGTATGAGAACTCTTTTACCTGTTGTTACCTTACCACCGATCTTCACAAGGATGGCCATCGTGGTGGATTACTGGGCCATTCCTCAAACCTTAGTGATGCTATCCAAAGGGAAAATATGCGTTGGGAAAATAGTGGAGAAAATTGTTTGATGATAATAATAAAACTTGTTGTTTTGAATTGAACTTTTCATCAGTCAGGTTCGCTTCCGTGATTTCACAAATCAAACAAACGGTACGAAAGCTCGCCGCCATCGAAAAATCCAAATAAAACCAAACAATATTTCAATTTGTGCTTTATTTATGAAAAAAATTGTAAATTATCCTACAATGAATCTCCGAATGAAATAGACTTACATATCGTTTTATGTATCAAATACATTATTTTGCTCGACGACGCCAGATCAAACCACATAAGAACAATATAGTTTAAAATATTATCTACAGAATCCGTCCTCGGCGATTCGATTACCAAAAATACAATCTTCGTTGGGTCTCGCTCGGGCGGGGGGCGGGCGCGGGCCGGCGGCGTTATTTACACGCGAATGTACAGCGGGCGCGGGCGCGCTCAGCCGAGCAGCGCCTCCATGGTGTAGGGGTGCGGCGGCGGGTGCGGCGGCGGCGGCGACGGCGGCGGGCGCGCAGGCTCCTGTCGGTGCACATGCGCAATATATATAAGGTGAAATTTAATGTTTTAATGAAACCTCGCGGGGTTGTTGGGTTACGTATATATAGTAACTCTGAATTTTTTCGGATTTTATTTCAATGATTTAAAAATAAAATTTTATATTTCCTTGCTATTTTTTAAGTTCTTTCCTATTTTGGTTACTAAATAATTATTGTTTTTAAACACGCATATAGAGTAAGTAAAAAACAACTAATAAAAAAAACGGAAAAACAGACGACGGGCGGCCGGGAGCAATGACCGCTCCCGCCGTTGAATACCTACCTACCTATGCGCGGTGCAAAGCGCAGCCGCAGTGAGCGAGTGCAGTCTCAAGGCCTATCCATCGCGCGTGCGTATGTTTTAACTTTGTTTGTGACAAGACAAGATTTGCAAATTATGCCTCAATTAGTTCTTGTTCTGTGACTTCGATGTAACATTTTTGACATGGTGTGTTGTTATATGTGAGTATGACAAAGTACTCAGCAGAGCTACAAGGCTTTATGAAAGTAGGTTTAGTGATTGATTCTGTACTGTTCTGTTACAATGTGTACACGGGAAGTTATAGTGAAAAAAATAATAATAGGTACATTCGGTCTAAGTACTTTTGAATACCGGGTTATAATTTTTTTCTGACCCAAGTATTTACCTGCATTAAGTATTTGTGTTTGCTTAACATTTGCTTATTTCCAATCGAAAACAAAGTTATTATTAACTTTGTAGGTTTTTCTCTGCTTAAGAGAAGATGTCATTTGTGCTTATTATTTTAAAAAAATTGACTTCTAAGAGGATTTTATTGTATGGTGTGGAATCAAAGGAGTCGCGTCAGCTGAACTCTTGTGTAACTACTCACTCAACGGCAGGCGGGCGCGGTCGTTGACCCGCGGTGGTCGCACTTGCTTAATTTTACTATTTTCCGTTTTTTAGTAGTGCTTATTAATTAGTCGGTTTTCAGTGAATATGTAAGTATGCATGTTTAAAATGAATAACTACTCAAAAGGACATAAAAATACAAAAATTATAAATAAAAACAAATACTTTAAAAAACTCCGAAAAAAACAGGCATACTCTATACACGTAATCCAATAATCCCACAGTTTCACTTCTTGAAGAGACCAAGTTTGAGTACAAATTACGCTTTCAATATATTTGCTCAAATAATCTAAGATTAGTGCGCTGCGGGTTAGAGTGAGTGAGGAGGAGTATCTACATCAGAAAGTTGTTTAAATAATTTTGTTGTAAAACTAACAGAGTGTTAGGTGAAAAGGGGATTGGAGTATGAAAAGAGTATTGGTGGGTAAAAGTGGGGATTGATGGGTGATAATCGGGGATTGGTCGGTGATACTGGGAATCGGTAGATGGAAATGGATTGGAGAGTGAAAGGGATTCGAGTGTGATTATTAAAATAAAACGTAGAAAACTATTATACATATTATTATCACAACAGAAACTTACAACAGTTAAAAGAACAAAGAACTTTTGCTATTACTTGTTATTCACTGCAGGACTTCACTCGACAGTGGTGCCATCTGGTGAGACAAAAAACGGTAACCCTCGTTAAAGGATTGATTGACGAAGGACTCAACTGTACCTGTCAGTCCAGGATGACCAGCTGCAGCGGCGCGCCCGCGCCCGCCGTCTTGCCCGCGCCTGTGGGCGCGCCCGCACCCGCGCCCGCGCCCGCCGTCGCTAGCACCGCACCCGCCGCTGCCGCTGCCGCCGCCGCCCCCGCGCCCGACCGCATGGCGCGCCACGGTGCTCGGGCGCCGCGTCTCAGCTCGCCGCAACTCAGCGTCCGCCGCGCTACCCTGCGTACAAAACCATCGTTTAACATCGACGTCAGCCTATTGTCCCCACTACTGGAGCATTCAGACCTTCGCTATTTATTTTATTGACGTGATAACGTCTTATAAATACAGTACTATATAAGTTTTATTAATTTACTAGCAACTGCAAGTGAGTAGTACCTACTAATACAGATATTCCAATCCACGAAGACGCGCCCCACTATTCCTCCTAACCGTTTATAGTAAATGTGTGCCAGCTTCCGCCAATATTTGAGTGTTACCGGTACACACTAATTATCTATGAGTGCACGCGCACACTACAATAAATAGACTAATCAGGAGAGAGCGTCACGGTCAAAGGAAAAGGCTCTACTTCAATTTTATATTTTTATCATTTTTAGGTTTGGATATTTTATGTGATTATTAGTAAATATACGATAAATTATTTTAAACTTTCATGGTCACTAACACTATAATGTATTTTGTTATTAGCGGGATTGATACCATGTACCTTAATTGTTTCGAGTCCCCGATATTTCGGCACTGTTGCAAGCGCCATGATCACGGAGTAACTCCGTGTAACATTATAATATTACCATTTTTTATAATAGAGAGTAATTATAGACATAAATGAAATACGTGAAAAAGTATTATTGAACTTTATTGAAAAATCAAAATCGTCAATCACTTGTTTCAGTAATATCTGATTCAGAGTCTGATATTTCACTGGCATTTATAATAAAACTGAAATCAAGATAACAGTGTCTCATGTTTTCGTCTTCTATTTTTTCCACGTGCTGACAAGTTTAGTGTTGAACCAGACATCTTTATTTACTCGGTCAAAAGCTGCATTGAAAATGGCCATAATTGAAGTTTAATTTTGATAGATATTGCGGATAGCAACGTCGTTTTTTACAATACCCCAAATGTTTTCGATTGGGTTTAAATCTGGATGTTAAGGAGGCAGTCTAAGCACTGTGAATCCATGTCGTTTCAATAATTCGTCAACTTTGTACTTGCGGAAGTTTTTGTTTTTTAGTATAAGGTCATAAGTTCCGGTTTTTTAAAGCTTGGTTGGAAATGGATATTTTTTACATTCAGCCAAGTCTGCATATCTAATTTCTTGGAGTTGGATGTTGTTAATTTTTTTGCACTAGCGTTGTGATAAGCTGCATTATCCAAGACTACCACGGCATCATTTGGGACATTTGGTATTAGTTTCGCCTTTAGTCACTTTAATTTTATGCGTTCATGTTATCGTGGTAGTCTTCAGATTTGACCTCTGCTCTGTATGTCAACAACGCATTTGGTACAAAACCCTCTACACTTCTGCCATTAACTATAATTATGTGCACTAATATTGTTAAATTTGATTTGTTGCTGTTTTAGAACCGCTTTCGGCCCAAGTTTTTTTTTGCACATGGTTGGTATATATATATAATTCATCAGTGTATACTATAGGTCTACCTGCATTACGAAAAGACTTTACTTGTTTTAAATAGTTTAATCTTAACATTTGAATATCATGTTTTTCGGTAAGCACCCTCCTATTAATATCAGTTCTTTTCCACTTATAACCAAGTTTACGTAACAATGTCCTTAGCGTATTTATACATCCATCAAATTGTATAAGGTCTTTTAAAACAATATTAAGTCGTGATAATGTTCATACGTGATAATACATCAGTATACTGGCCAATGGTAATGACGTCACGAATCCGACGCCATATTGTACTGATATGCTACCATATTTTTACCTTGAGAACGAATATGACGTATGACCGAGCGTGCGTGAGATGCATTCGAATTTTATTTCTTTTTTATTTAAAGAACAATAATGGCATCCGAACAAAAAGAATTCCTTTTAATTAATGAGGTGAATAAAAATCTTCTTTATTCGCACTATTTTTAATATTTCGTCGATTTATGACGTCAGTGCACTGGCGATTATATTTCGGAAAAATTCACCAGTATAGCGTCGATTCATGACGTCATTAGCACTGGCCAGTATACTGGTATATATTACGGAATACACCCTATAGGAACTAGCGCATCCGTCTCCATAGTTATATTCGATTCCATAGCTGGTGCTGTAGTTTGCTTCATTCTATTAGTATATTCCTTTTTATTGCGTAGAATTATAGTCACTGCGCTTTCAGATCCTCCAACAGCCTGCGCGGTTCTTCATCGCGCATCAGTGTTTTTCTGCGTAATTATTACTTGCTTATTTTTTCATATAATTTTATTTTCATAAAATTATAAACTATTGAAATAATTTCTCTTGCCTAAAATAAAAAAATACAAACATTAAATAGTTTTACTTATTTTTAAAGATGAATTGAAGTCTTCTTTTGGTAAAATTTGCTATTTTCAAAATTAAATTACTTTCCTCTGCTTATTTCATGTGTTTTAGTAACTACAAACATCTAAACAATATACGTATATCAATTACATACCTGGCTTTTAAGTACAACCCGCTGAGATTTTCTCGACATTACTGTACCGGACGGGCGGAAACTCGTATTGGTGTAAATGTTACGCTCAAAGATCGAAAACGCTCAGTGAGCGGAAAAATAGCTAACAACGCGTTGTGGTCACAGTAAAACATCCACATAGCGAAATTCGTGTTATGGCTCTAATGAAAACGCGCACGACGCGTTGTGGCAATCACAGAAAGACCAAAGAGCGAAATTCGTGTCATGGCTGACATGTTATTTGATCTCAACGCGTTGTGGCAATGAAGAAAAGCCATGACGCGTATGGAATATTATTTGATTACGACGCACACTACTTTCCGATATGGATCCTACTAGGCCTAGGCTGGAAACGTTTTGGTAGATAGATGTCTTTAAAAAATATTTTTTATTTTATAAAATCACTGCATAACGTGTTTGTCATTATTAAATATGTTATATAATTATTTAAATTAAAATAAAACGATAATTGTTATTTATTGAGATTACTTTATATTTAAAAAAATCAACGTATTATAAGTAATAAATTACTGAACACAAAATATTAATCATTTGTAAATTACTTATAATTCACTTAAAATAATTAGGGATTTTAATTTTTTTATGACAATTTAAAATTCTTTCAAATAACAAAAATATTTAACACAAACATAAATGTTTATTGATCACCAATAAACAACAACAATGTACTTTAATCAATTACTTATATTAGAAATTACTATAATTGTGAAAAATAAGTATTTGTTGCTATTTATTTTTACAGGAACTATTACTGTGACATTTTGAGTTGCATTTTATATTCTTGGAGCGACACTTGCACTTTTTATCAATACAGTATCTTTTGCAGTGGCACATTATAAACCCTTGCTTACTTCCAGATGATAACACAGATGCTGAGCGTGTGGATGACGAAGTTGAGGGCACATCACAAATGTTAAATTTCAAAAAGTGTAAACTCATTGCGTGCAAAAAGTCTACCGAATGTACCTTCCTTGTTTCCTAACTGGTAGAGACCTGATGGATTAATGCTCATAACAACACACATAACATTCCTGGATGCTGCACGTCCTCTATCAACTTACAACCTGTCCGTTGTGATATGGTTAAAACAATGAATGCTCAGAACGCGTCATGGCTTTTCTTCATTGCCACAACGCGTTGAGATCGAATAGCATGTCAGCCACTATATTTATTTTCAAGGAATTGTACTCACTTCGCGGTATCGGTTGCTCTGAAGTAGAGATCATCAGGTGCGTCCATCCATGAAATAACGTGGCGGCGACCTCCGCGGCCTGTTATGTTGGTCGGTTTTCCATTCACCTGCAGAATGAAAACCTCCAATTACACAAAAGTCCTCGTAGTAAAAACTAAGCACTACCAAAGTATTGCCTAATATTTTCAATGCCAATGTCAGATAATGTTCGTCTAACTTTCAAAGTTCCCTTTTTGATTTGAGTTACTACGTGTGTAGTACAATCCGTAATCACACTAATATTATAAAAGCGAAAGTTTGTGAGTGTGTATGTTTGTTACTTCTTCACGTCTTAACGGCTGGAGCGATTTGAATAAAATTTTATATGGATAGATAGATCGATAGATAACATTTTATTGTGCACACCACATTAAATATTACACACTAGGACAAATCTTAAAATAGTGAATAATTGGCGGTCTTATCGCTATATAGCAATTTCTGCCAGACAACCATAGGATGGAGAGATGAATTTTAATAAAAGAGAGGGTGTGCTAATATTACAAATAAAAATAATTACAATAAAAGATTCACGATTAAACATAGATAGATCATATAATATAATCATAAATATCTACTATGCAAGTATACAAATATTAAATGAATGAGTAGAGAGACATACACATACATACAGTTGGAACAGCACAAACAACTACGAAAGGAAAAAATCTTTTATCTGGTTCTTAATTAAACTAATCGTCCGGGCACTTCTGATGTTAACGGGGAGAGAGTTCCAGAGGCGTACAGCTTGAACACAAAAGAAAATTTATAAAAGGTGGTATTATGTGATGGAGTTTTAAGGCTCAAATTCTGATGAGCGTAAACACTGAGAGTGGGAACAGTGGAGAAAACTGAAAAGCTCTGTAAGATAATTGGGATAAGAGGGATTAAACAAAACATTGTAAAGAAGGGAAAGTATAGGGTATCCCGGCGACGACGTATTGGAAGCCACTTAAGTTGAGAACGAAACTGGGAAACATGATCATATTTTCTTAAACCAAACATGAACCTAATGCAGAAGTTTTAAAGACGCTTAAGTATATTTAGCTTGTCCTCCGTAAGATCTAGATAGCAGGCGTCAGCACAGTCAAGGACTGGAAGCAATAGAGATTGAGATAGCATAATTTTAGTGGCAGTGGCTAAAAAGTCACGTAGTCTTCTTAACGAACCAGCAGACGCATACAGTTTTCGACTTACGGCTTGCAGCTGTGGCTCCCAGCTCAACGAACTATCCATTATCACTCCCGGGATTCTTTACCGTTGAACTATAAGGTATGTCAGTTCCTTCGAAATTAACTTTAGGAATAGTAGTCCAGTAAATTTGAAATAATAGCCTAGAGCTACCGTCTATCATGACCTGAGTTTTGATAGGATTAACATTAAGGCCAAAAGCTTTACTCCATTCCGCAATTCGAGATCAACATTAGTTTTAAAAACTGCTTCCTCAATTTTTTCATGTGGAGCCTGGCAATATATCTGTAAATCGTCTGCATAAAGGTGGTAGGAAGAAGATAAGTTAAGAGATATTGAATTAATAAATATTGCGAAAAGAAGAGGAGATAATACGCCGCCTTGTGGAACGCCAGCAGACGTCTCGCAATATGACGAGAATTTGTCATCAAGGCGAACACGCTGCGTACGTCCATACAGATAACTGTGAAACCAGTCAATTACCGTTGGAGATATGTTAAGAGAGCGTAATACGGCTATAAGAACATCAAAATCGACAGTGTTAAAAGCGTAACTAAAGTCCAATAATGTTAGCACAGTTAGGCGACTGTTTTCCATGCCAAGTCCGATGTCATCAGTAACCTTGTAAGGAAATTATTAATTTGTTTGTGAAGGAGACGTTCAAGCACTTTGGATAAAAAGAGAAGAATGGATATAGGACGATACGATGGAGTTAGCTGACACCCTGGATTAACACATAGTCTACGATTTACTGAGGGAAAATATCCCTAATAAAACGCGAGTAACACCGCGGGCACAGCTAGTAAGGACAACAAACATGCAGTCGAATTGAGAACCTTCGTTTAAAAAAAATGCAAAAGTATGTGAGAGAGAGACAAACATGAGAGAGATCGGCCAACCGCTGCCCGCGCAAACACTTGCGCGGGCAGCGGTTGGCCGGTGGCCTACGCGCGCGCACGCATGACGGCGTACTGCTCGCGCGAGGGCCGCTGCATGGGCGCCGGGTGCTTGTTGGGCCGCTTGGCCAGCGGCGGCGCGGCGACCGCCTCGCGTACTGCTCGTGTGTGTGTGTGTGACTTACGTGCGCAAACACGTGCGCGGGCAGCGGTTGGCCGGTGGCCTGAGCGCGCGCACACATGGCGGCGTACTGCTCACGCGAGGGCCGCTGCATGGGCGCCGGGTGCTTGTTGGGCCGCTTGGCCGGCGGCGGCGCGGCGACCGCCTCGCGTACTGCTCGTGTGTGTGTGTGTGTTTGTGACTTACGTGCGCAAACACGTGCGCGGGCAGCGGTTGGCCGGTGGCCTGAGCGCGCGCACACATGGCGGCGTACTGCTCGCGCGAGGGCCGCTGCATGGGCGCCGGGTGCTTGTTGGGCCGCTTGGCCGGCGGCGGCGCGGCGACCGCCTCGCGTATTGCGCCCGCCCCTGTGCCAACCGAATGGTTAACGTGACCTAAGTGAGCGATACAAAACATTTTGCTACCATTATAAAGTCACGCCGATGAACGGGATCTGACAATTATATAGTATAATAAATCCATTCACAAAGCGACCATGCGAGAGGATTGTTTGTTTAGCTTTAGACCTTTTCGCACTTATTACAAAACGTAGACTAAGGTAAACCTGGACTAAAACTGAAGCTACCACTCTTGTTTGATAAAAAAAGGACAGACATCATTAGGTTTAATCCAAGACTAACTTTAGTCCGTGTTGTAAGATAAAGAAATTTGCTTCTAGAGGTGGATCAATAAATGTATGAATCTTTAATCTATGATCATTCAACAAGGATTTCAAAAATTTAATAACAAACCTGTTGCTGTTTTTCCAATGGTAGCGTAAAAAGGGAAATAATATTTTTTATATTACATTTTTGCTAAGAAGTAATAGGTATAAATTCATAAATTACGAAATTTTAAGAAGCAATCACAATTGCCTGCGTAAGCGAAGGACTTTAGTCCGCGGAGGAGTCCCTTAATCGATCAGTAGGCCTATTCGCTAACTGCTTTTGACAGCTGGAAGTGATAATCGCAGAGCTATTTAGTAATCCACTACTGCTTCATTACAACGCCACAAAGGTATTTCATTATTATTTAAAGGTAGAAAATTGCATATTCTATAAATATTTATTATATATATTAAAATTTCTTCTGAAAAGCATTGATGGATATGCAATTTTCTCTTTAGTTATACACTGGAAGTGTCAAAAAAGTTAGAAAATGGGCCGGCAGATCGTGCGGCGCATCGACACATGAGTTCTAGTTCTTCGGGGACACCCGCGTACTTTTGTCCTGTTCGGTCTCTCGGCGTCCTTGGTTGTTCGGGGGACTTTTGTACGCGATACTTTTATATCGTCGTATGCGTTACTTGATGCAGGTGTAAGCGATCTATTTCGGCGGACGAAAAATACCGCTGACAAAAGTCCTGCGTCTGCGCAGACTAATAATAAAAGACCGCATCGGTACTGACTGTCGAGTCCATTGATGTCGTCGAAAGCGCGACGTTTGAGTGGTTGCACGGGAGCCGGTTCGGTTCTGCGAGCCTCCAGTTCCGCGCGAGATGCGACGCGTTCGTACATCAGGCTGCCATCTGACAATCAAATTATGAGATTATTATGAAAAGACTCGAAACATTATGTAACAAATTAATAGCAATCAAAAATGAAAACCTTTTTTTTATTAGGTGCATATCTATTTTTCATTTTATGTTTTTTAAACAAGCCATAAAAATCGCCGCCGTATGAGATGTTCGGTTCACTGGACAGTTACTAACGTGGAAGCGTTATTGGTGATACGGAGCAGGCTCAAGTTGCGGGTACATACGTAGACAACAAGAAGATGGTCCATCTTACGATAGTACTACTGCAAGTGTGTCTGTATGCGGTAGACTTGAGTAGTTCACGAAAGAAAGATAAGAATGCTCTAGAACACCGATAAAGATTTATTGTATGAAACTAAAAATAAAAAGAAAACTTAAAAATCTAAATTTATTCAGTCCAATCTGCTACAAGCACTTGTGAAGTGAAAGTCGAGAAGCTACGCGGTTTGCTAAACTACGGTGGGAGACCTTATACCGAGAAGAGCCTATGAGAATCTCAGCAAGAGCTGTTTTTTTTTCCGAGATACTTCTGAAGTCACCTTCCATTACATCATTTAGAACAGTGGTTCTTAACCTTTTAGTCATGAGGGACCATTTTACCAAATGTTTCTATGGCCGGGGACCACCCAGTTGGTTTACCTAACTAAAATGACCTAAATTAAGGGTTGTTTGATAAAGAAAACAAGCACAATTTTATAATTAGCACTCATTTATTTATTATTTGGCAAAAATATAAAAGTTACAGATTTTAATTTAATGTGATTTTTGTGCCTGCATACTCTTTACTAACTTCGGAATTCTCGGTTCAGTACTACTCAAAGCTAAACGCATATCGGCAGTGGCATCCAACCGATTTCGATGCTTGTTTTTAATAATCAGAAGCGTCGAAAACCCCTGCTCGCATAGATACGTCGATGAAAATAATGTTAGGTAACGTATAGCAATGTCTCGAAGCTTTGGAAAAGAAATTGCTTTTTGGCTCCAATAATTTTTCTCCAAAAGATTTATTCCTGATTCGAATGTATCTTTTAAGTTCGTGTCGTGTTGCATTTCAATCACTTCTTCTTGAATTTCATCAGAAACTTCAGAAACGTTGACAATGAAAGGATTCCGGATCAATTTCTGAATACTTTTGTCCTCGCAGTCAGGAAAATAGCGATTGAATTCACTTTTTAAATTAGTCAAATGGAGCATCACGTTCTTCTGAATTTCTTCTTTAATATCTGCACCTTGTCCGTCAATAATTTGGTTGAGCGTATCAAATGCAGAAAAGTTTTTTCTTTCGATCTTATTGATCCATAGCTCGATTTTAGCAATAAACGCCCTGATTTTATCTTCATATGCAAATATGTTGCTCATGCCTTGCAACTTCAAATTTCCGGACCCTTGCATTTGAAGGTTCAATTTATTTATTTGCGCAAAAAAGTCGACCAAATAAGCAAAACGTACTTTATATTCGGGCTCACAGAACTGATCTAGCAACTCTTTGTTTTCCTTGATAGTTAAGAATACTTGTACTTCCTCTCTTAGTTCGTACAACCTCGACAGCATGTTTCCTTTTGAAAGCCAACGAACTTCTGTGTGGAAAAGCAGAGTTTCGTGTTCAGAGTTCATGTCAGAACACAACTGTTTGAATAGACGAGTATTGAGTGCGCTCTTTTTAATGAAGTTAACTACTTTTATAGCTGTTTTCAGAGCTATAGTAAAACATTCCGGGAGCGTTTTGGCAGCCAATGCTTGACGGTGAATAACGCAGTGCGTCGTAATTGCGGAAGGATTTTTGGTTTTTACCAATGCTGCAAGACCAGAGCGAGAACCAAGCATAGCAGGAGCACCGTCAGTACAAAACCCGGCAAGCCTTTCCCACATAAGTCCATGTTCCTCCATATATTGGCTTATTGCATTCATAACATCTGCACCTTGCGACGTAGTTTTAAGTTCTTGAGAAAATAATAACTCTTCTTTAAACATTTTGTTGTCCTCCAAAAATCGAATAAATACAAGTAATTGACAGCATTGCGAAACATCGGTAGACTCATCACATTGTAATGCAAAATAAGGGCTGTTTTTAATCTTGTCAATAACTTGGTCTTCAATATCAGTTGACATTTTTTGAATACGCGACTTAATTGTGTCATTAGAAAGCGGTATTTCACGAATTTTCTTTTGAGCTTCCGCACCTAAAAGCTCTTCTGCAACTTTGAGCATACAGGGCTTTATTAAAGATTCGCCGATTGTGTGTGCTTTTTTCGATTTGGCAATCAATTTTGAAACTTCAAATGATGCAGATAATGTTTTTTCAGAGGTTTCATAACTTGTTCCACTGGGTCCAAGTTTCATTTTTTTAAGACTTGTTAGTTTGCCTTCAAAGAATTCTCGCGAACGGTTACAAAACTTCGGATGCACGGTCTTCAAATGACGTTCCAACTTTGCCGGTTTTAAAGCGTCGTTAGAAAGAACAGTTGCACATAAAACGCATTGTGGTCTAGTTTCTCCATTAATTTCTATTGAAGTAAAGCCCAGCTTAATATAGTCGTCGTCATATTTTCTTTTTGGTGGCATTTTTCTGAAAACGAAGTTTTAGCGATAATATGGACAGGTATAAGATCTGATAATAAAAATGTGTTGTTTTGATAAGCTTTTATTTGTGAGGTCTATGGCCAGCTGTTGGAATGACGGTTAAAGTATCTACTGCTCAAGACGTATCAAATGAGCCCAAATACGACGGTATTATTAAGTAGGTACCTATATTTACATATACATCATAATCTGCTCAATTATACCAAGCAATTGCATTGTCACCGAAATGATATAATATTATGTATTCCCAACTTTGCCTCAATTGGTTGAGAATAACTGCTTTGAAATATTTAGTTGTAAGGTTTAGACCCGAACAAACAAACGTACCTACCTACACACAAACAATGCAAGTCAAATAAGGCTCGTTTTGACGTGACAACGTCTTATAAAACGATGGATCTTATGTAAACCGACTTTAAATGAAACCGATTTTTTAATTGCTTATTAAAACCTAACCTAGCCTACAAAAATACTGAATTGTGCATTATTTTCCGTTTTATATAAAATATTAAAAACTTCTTACCTACCTAATAAGAAACCTAGCAGATTTACAACGTGACGAAAATAAAGTAAAATTAGTAATCCGCAATAGCTAGTTGTGTGACATAAACCAAACAAATAATATTTATTTTACTTACCTATAATAAATCACTACCGCTCATTACAACGTCGACGCTACAAGTGACGATCGGCAACCCGCGCCGCTAAAACAAAGAACGAATGGAACGAAACCGCCACCCCCGCTCTCGTGCACCGCGTTTCGCCTTCGGACTCGTGCCGCGCGCGGCTCGCGTTGTTTCGACTCGACTCATGACGTCACGTCACATATTATTAGGATGGCTTCGCGGACCACTTGGAATGCCTCCAGGGACCACCTGTGGTCCGCGGACCACCGGTTAAGAACCACTGATTTAGAATATAGATACATATATAGCGCTCTAATTCACTTTCGTTTATACTGTATCTGTAGTTCATTGGATGGCTGCGGCTGCATTCGTTAACAGCCACCAATCCGAACTGGGTTCGCGTGGTGGGTGCATGGCCTTATCTCCGTATTGCATCCATAGGGTAGGCCTATTTCTCAGTAGGAGAGGCATTAATAGGCTGATGATGAATGCTTCCATAGGTGTGATGACGAAATTCTATTTAGTCCGTCAGTTAGCTGATCAAAAAATAATGGATACGTATTTTTTCTTTGGGTAATCAAACAAAAAATGACAAAGATAAAGCGCGTCAGTTTGGGAGTAGAGGTTCGTGACGTCACTTTTAAGTGAAAATTGTACAAAAACGTGACGATATGCGACTTTTCAAATCAATATATCTCTGCAATGTTTAATTTATGTGAAAAATGAAAAAATACGTGTCCAATACTTTTTGATAATCTACCTGATAAACTATGAAAAAAAAATTAGTCATCATCCCTATTTCTAATTAGTTGTGATGACGGTGTACCTGGCGCCTTGGGTGGTTTGGGGAAGGCCACGTGCGCGGGCTTGGGCATGCGGTCGCGCGGCGTGAGTAGCAGCCACTCGTGCGCGCGCGCCAGTGGGGAGGGTTGGCCGCGGGCCGCCGCCAGTCGGTTGGCCACTGTCCCTACAGCGCCGCGTGCTCGGGCAATTCCACCGCTCGCGCGCATATCAGCGGCCCCCACGCCGACGCCTGCCATGGCTATCGAACCTGGTGGGGAGAGCACAATCACATTAACTCACATTTGAAGTTCAACCGAGAGCGATATTTTTTGCAGAAATGTATGCAAACATGAATCAAGTGCTATTTAAATTTTCTTTACTGAGATACGATCGATAAAACATACTGGTTCGCATTTCGAATTTATACAAATAATTATAACAATGTCTTGATTCAATAAATCTTTTAAACACAAGATGGGTTTATATTTAATGCGTAAGTCGCGCGCCCTTGCTCGAATCGTGCGCCGTCGTATAACACTAGGCGTGAAGGTAGAAGGCGGCGCGCGTCTTCATGACGGGCCGGCGTGTGACGTCACGCGGTATACTCACACTCGTGCTTGACCTGCTGCAGGTTGATGGGCGAGAAGGGCGAGCGCGCGTAGTGTCGGGGGCGGCGCAGCGCGCGCGCGAGGCGGCGGGCGAGTCGCGTGAATGGCGACGCGCGCAGGTAGAAGGCGGCGCGCGTCTTCATGACGGGCCGCGCGCCCTCGCCCGACCCGTGCGCCGTCGCCACATGCCGCGCTAGGTGAGCGCGCAACTTGAACTCCTGCGCATAGTTTAACATAAAAGCTATTAATAAATATAAAATTCGGGCATTATGGATTTTTCGCTTCCAAGTCGGAGCGACCGTCTGCCTAAGTTGCCTTCACCTTAACGAAGATCCATTAAAATAAAACTACTTTTAATGGTGTTGTGTTTCTGTAGGGAAAGTTCCAGTACTCTACTGTGTAGGGTATTGAGTCGGGGTACGCAACGGCTCGAGTGATATTTATGTCTCACAAGCGTCTATACATTATTAGCTATGGTGGCCACTTACCAATTGAGCGGGCCATATTTGCCACCTTTTTAACATGAAGAAAACATAAGTATTTGTGCGTGTTCGCAGCGGACGCGGTTATAAGACAGCCCGTTAACTTGGCGGAAAATAATCGCCAATCAGACGGTTTAGATCCCCTGGTATAATAGGCAAGCCAATCACGCTATTTATTGTTTTGAACGATCCGCCTAAGTTCAATCATGATTCAATCTTAATCCAATACTTACAGCAACTCAACTTTATACGAAATCTATATCGCGCTAATTTGCACATGTCAACTGAAATATACTTAATGTTTTTGACTGAAGTTCACTGAAGTACAGTCCAATCGTCATACGTTTTCACCTCAACTACCTGTCAAAACTTTTGCGCGATACGATGTCATAAAAAGTTGCGATTCGTTTACGGTTGAATGCGTTTCAGTCATTTGACATTTAGCGCGATCGGGCCTCAGGCTGGTGCTGCGAGGCTGATAATAACCACGACCTGCGCGTGCCATAAACAACCACAAGAAATTTGTCCAACTCACACTTGGTCGTTTTTTTTTATTTCGAGTTTATATCGTACTATACAGGGTTAATTTTAAAACACCAACAACCTCTTAGGGGGTGATTCTACCCACCAACATGAACAACTTTTATTATGCGACCGACTCTGAAATCGCGAAAAAAACATCAGCAGTTTCATACATTGCGGTCGATTAACTGATGCACATTTGTATGAAACAGCCGATTTTTTTTTCGCGATTTCAGCGTTGGTCCCTTAATAAAAGTTGTTCCTGTTGATGGGTAGAATCACTCCCTAAGAGGTTGTTGGTGTTTTATAATTAACCCTGTATACGAAATGTAAATCACATTACACTACCTTAGCGCAGTTGAGTACGGTGCAGCGATGCGGGCGATGCGAGGCAGAGAGCGCGGTTTCGTCGCCGTCGGGCCGCACTTTTGTTGATTCCGCTTCGCTTTCACCGAATGCATTTGCGGTCTGTCGAATACAAAAACTTGTGGTTATATGAATTTTTAATAGATTTTCTTCAGCAATTATATAAAATGTAAGAAATATACAACGTGAAAACTATTATTATTTAATTTTACATTTATATCTGTAAAAGCATAAGAATTAAATGACCTGCGAAAACATACTTTTACCTTAAGTCCTCCATATTTCTTCCAGTATTGCCAGCAAGAGCCACACAATCTGTATTGTAAATGCTCTGGGCCCCATGCATACCACTGGTTTGAAGTTGTCACTGAAATAATAAATGTATTTAAATTATTGTTCTATTTTCAATCTATTCTAATACATATTATAAAGCTGAAGAGTTTGTTTGTTTGATTGTTTGGTTGAAAGCGTTTCATCAGGAAATACTGATCCGATTCACAAAAATATTTTTTTTTTATATTGTAATTTGCATTTATCTAGGAAGGCTATACAAACATCAAGCTACGACCAGTAGGAGCGCAGCATCAATGAAAAATGCTGCGACAACGGGGAAGAAATGTTCTGTTTGCGAGCTTCCGTTGCGTGCGCTGTGCGCTGCGTAAATGGTTAAAGATACACAGAAAGCATGTATTATGGCATTTGTACGAATTACCGATCGTACATAGGTTTTTGTTTGTTGCCCTTAAAAGTGCTTAAAAAATCCGCAACATCATATCCATCCATCCTTCTTTTATGTTCGTCTCATTATAACCATTTTTACTCATAATTAACCACATTCATCGACTGTTAGGCGACACGAAGTTTGCTAGTATCAATAATAAACATTGGATACAATACAGAAAGGAGATTTTTAGTGAATGGTATAGTGGATCTCGATGGCGCAGGTGGTTAGCGCATTCGGCTTGCGATCATGGAAATTAAGCAACTTTCGCAATGGTCGGTCATTGGATGGGTGATCAAAAACTTAATATCTCGAGCTCCTACGTACTTCGGAAGGCACGTTAAACCGTTGGTCCCGGCTGCATCTGCAGTCGTTAGCATCCACCAATCCGCACTGGACCCGCATCGTTGGTCATGGCCCAATCTCCCTATTCCATCCATAGGGAAGATCGTGCCGCCGAAGCGGACACTTTAATTGGCTGATGATATAATAGTCTACCTTGGCAAGAGAGACAAAGCCGAGCGGGCGTTGATGCCGCCGTTGAGAACGGCGCCCGGTTAAATGCCGCCGCTGTCTGAGCTTGTGAGCGCCGCGTTCGGTTCGTTGATATAATTATTGATGTGTAAGTGTAAGTGTATGGATGTTTTAGTCAGTGGAAACTTAACTGGTTTATGAAAAAGTAATAAGTGTTACAGAGTTGTGAGGGATTTAGTGGCTCGTGGGGACTGTCCACTGATAAATATTTTTGTAAATAGGATTATATCAGATTTTAATATAATTTACTAACATAGTATTAAGTATTGTATACTAACACATGGATCTATGTTGTCCGAATAATAAATGATTTGAATTTGAACTAATTGAATTGTGTAAAACTGTATGTTTCCCAAATGAAAATACATAAATAAATAATCGCAGTCGATATTGTGACTAGTACAGTGTGTTACCTTGGCAGGAGAGACAGAGCTGCGCGGGCGGCAGCGCAGCGGTGCCGTTAGTGCCGCCGTTGAGCACGGCGCCCGGTTTAATGCCGCCGCTGGCTGAGCTTATGAGCGCCGCGTTCGGTTTGTTGCTGCAAAGGCCACATAACACGTTACACAGTGCATTCCTTTAGAACACGATGTTCATCAACTATTACTACCGTATTCATAGACGTCAAATAAGTTTTAGGATTTCATAGGTTTTAAAATATTACCCAATTAAAAAGCAAACGCGAAAATTACCATGACTGACAAACATACTCGACTCTTCAATTTGTCCGTAGAGACAAAAATATGTTTGGATAAAACTTATTTTTCAACTGGTTTTTTTTTATAAGTTTGTATAAAATTTATTTTTGTCTCATATGGTATTTGGATTGAACTAATCAGCCCTTAAAGTTAAGTGTTGTCTTACTTGTTGCTAAAGCAAAGGAAGAAATAGCAATATATTTAATCAAACTTCTAAATTGACGTATCTGAGGACGGCCGTTAAATGAAATAACTGAAAGTAATAATTTGTTTTATAGTCAAGAGAAGCAAATATTTGCTGTTTCGAGTGTAGTCTAGGGTCATCTGAGATCGATTTGATTGTATAATTTACTGGTATATTTTCTTCAAAATATCTCTAAAGTGATGATTGTATGGACTTGATCATGCAAACTAACCAAAACCGTATCTACAAGGAGAGAATTTTAGGAAAATCGTTACAATAATAGCTATAACTAACGCAAGCAAGCACAATACCTATAAATCAAATATAATATTCGAATGTAAATGAAAAACCTTGCAAAAAAAGTCGACATCGTCCTAATTGGAAACGCTCGTACGATGATGCGATACAACTCATAGTGCGACGTGCGAATAATGTATCTGTGCTTGTGCGACGGTTTACGAGCTGCATTAGAACTCTTGTGAAGAAATATTTATGTTTAATCATCGCACGACGAGATAGCATCGTGTCATCGTGCGATCGTTGTCAATTAGGTTGACGCCATGTAGCGATACAAACACAATTTCCACGTTTATACACCGTGAATTTTGAGTTACCTGAGAAACTTAATAATCGTGTTAATAAAAATAATGCGAACAGTTATAATTTTTATTTTTTAAGCATGTAACTGCCTAATGTTTAAATCTAAAGAAAATATAACTAGAAAAATATCCACGCGGACCAGGCAGCAGACGGGACTCGAACCCGCACCCTGACCAAGGTACTTACACCTTAATAGAAAAATATTTATTTATATCATTTACAAAATATCGTAAAACGGCACAACTTTGTAAATAACATACCTATTATGGAATTATTATCCATTTAAAGTATGCTAATCCAAAAAATTGTTCTATTTTAATCAATTTATGGAGCATTCCACGTGAAGCGGACAGGTAAAAAAACTCGATGTTTCCGATTTCAGTAATATTTGAGTATGTTCTACTTATACTTATTATTGATACGTGTACTAAATATTTTTGTGATATAATGACTAGTTAAAGAGTAATGGGACTTTGAAGTTTTCGACAGCCGGTTGGCATGCAGTACTTGAAAGCCGATTATGGACTCATAAAATTATATATTAAAATAACTAAACCACTGGATTTCCTACTTTATTTACTGGGCTTTTTAACTGTGTTTTTGGAAAAGAAAAAAAAAATTTTTTTTCGGTAAAAAAAACCAATTTAAGTTTTTTTCCTTGATTTTCACCAAGTTAGACCATTTAGTTTTTTTTTATTTTTTTTTATATAAATTGCTAATATTGTGTAGAACATTGGTGCCAACTTTTATAATGGGCGTGAAATTGGATTAGGAGCTAGACTGAAAATACTGCCGAAGGGTGGCGACCAGCGCCGCGCCTGTTGACCGCCGCTTGTGCGCGATTAGTCATCAAACTGTATATCAAATAAAATCACTTTGGACGGAATGTTTTGTAGATTTTTAATAAAACCAATACATAGAAAAAAATCCACGCGGACCAGGCAGCAAACGGGACTCGAACCCGCACCCTTCGCAATCCGGGCGAATGCACTGACCAATTATGCTACCGCGGCCCTCACGGACCGCGTCAAAATTCCTCTAACCATTCTTAAGCAGCAAGGCAGCGCCATCTCTTCGCATTATAGGTAATCCAAAATGTTATATTAGGGGCCGTTCATAAAATACGTCACGCTAAAATCAGCTTTTTCCGACCCCCTCCCCCCCTATTGTCACGCTGTGTCACACTTTCTGTGACCCCTCTTGAAATATTCCGTCACAAAAACAGAGACCCCCCCCCCTCCCCAAGTATGATTAATTTTAATATTTAAGATTAATTCTTAATAAGAATGACTAGAGGAATTTCGACGCGGTCCGTGAGGGCCGCAGTAGCATAATTGGTCAGTGCATTCGCCCGGATTGCGAAGGGTGCGGGTTCGAGTCCCGTTTGCTGCCTGGTCCGCGTGGATTTTTTTCTATGTATTGGTTTTATTAAAAATCTACAAAACATTCCGTCCAAAGTGATTTTATTTGATATACAGTTTGATGACTAATCGCGCACAAGCGGCGGTCAACGGGCGCGGCGCTGGACGCCAGCCTTCGGCAGTATTTTCAGTCTAGCTCCTAATCCAATTTCACGCCCATTATAAAAGTTGGCACCAATGTTCTACACAATATCAGCAATTTATATAAAAAAAAATAAAAAAAAACTAAATGGTCTAACTTGGTGAAAATCAAGGAAAAAAAGTTAAATTGGTTTTTTTTTACGAAAAAAAAGTTTTTTTTCTTTTCCCAAAAACACAGTTAAAAAGCCCAGTAAATAAAGTAGGAAATCCAGTGGTTTAGTTATTTTAATATATAATTTTATGAGTCCATAATCGGCTTTCAAGTACTGCATGCCAACCGGTTGTCGAAAACTTCTAAGTCCCGTTACTCTTTAACTAGTCATTATATCACAAAAATATTTGGTACACGTATCAATAATAAGTATAAGTAGAACATACTCAAATATTACTGAAATCGGAAACATCGAGTTTTTTTACCTGTCCGCTTCGCGTGGAATGCCCCTTATAACAAATAAAATTGTTAATAAATAGTAAATTAACAACGTAGAGAATTTTCGAAAAAAAAAAACACAAAAAATATTTTTTTGCGGAAATATAATCGTTGTCTGATTTAGCTGGTAGTTTCTCTGGTAACTCGAAATTCACGGTGTATATACAACAACAATAAATAGTTAGATTATGTTCGTTGGTACAAACACTCACTAGTTGGGAATGTACACTTGCTTCAGCTTGGACTCAGCCTCGACCGCCTTCACGCGTTTCTGTTGCACGTAGCGGTCCGTCGTCTTCCACATGTAGTAGTATTCCACCAGATTCTTTAACGTTTTCCACGGCAACTGGAAATATCATTCTAATTTATATGCGTGCAATGAATTAGAAATAATATAAAATACGAACTGCGCTAAAAAGTTGTTCCACGCAAACTGCGATCAAGTGGGCAGATGATGATCATGGGATTGGTTGGGATTTCCGTTTAAAATTATCTTTCCCAATAAATAGATAGGCGAATTTTATATGTCAAAGTATTTTGTTTTGTCTGTGTGCGTGTCGCGTTAGTACTGAAGTTTATTTGTATGAATTTGAAACCATTTTTTAGCGGTCTTTGTTAGAGGGTAATGCTTCCACATCATTTCTTATTCGTTGTATGCATGTAATGTAGCCGATTTTGAACTCTTAACGCCTTTAGCAGACTGAAGCGGCGAACCGTGGTAGCGAAACTACTGTAATCTTTCAGAGATGTTGATGCAACATACGCAATGAAAGAGTACCACAGTTTCGCTACGTTGTTGGGGAATGACCGTCTAACTTTAACTCTTTTGGCCCGTCTTTCGCCTTTAAAGCTAAGATTTTTTTTATTAATGTTATATGACAACACACATAAGTTAGTACTAACTGTTATATAAATACAAATTTTGTCAATAGATAGTGAACCTTATAACAAGTACTATAAAATTCAAAGTCAACAAAGCGGCGAAGTCTGTCGTACTCATCTAGGGTTTCCTCGGAGAGGTTTGCTTCTGGGGCGGACCGTTCTTCCATCTCGTCGCGGCATAGAACCATTGCCTAATATCGGTGAAGTCATTGCCGTACTCATCTAGAGCTAGAGATCTTCTAACAGATTTGCTTCTGAAACGGACCACTCTTCCATTTCGTCGCAGCATAGTACAGGCCCCGAGGGGGAGTTAATTAGGAGGCGTTATGTATACAATATGTAGGGAAACGTACAAAATCCTGCCTTATATCGGTGAAGTCTTTGCCGCACTTGTCTAGGGCTTCCTCGAAGAGGTTTGTGTCAGAGGCGGGCCACGTTAATTTAGAAGGAGTTAGATAAACAATGTAGTGAAACGTACAAAGTCCTGTCTTATATCGGCGAAGCCCTTGCCGTACTTGTGTAGGGCTTCTTCGAAGAGGTTTGTTTCCGAGGCGAGCCACGTTAATTTAGAAAGAGTTAAGTATAAAATGCAGGGAAACTTACAAAGTCCTGCCTTATATCGGCGAAGTCCTTGCCGTACTTGTCTAGGGCTTCTTCGAAGAGGTTTGCTTCTGAGGCGGACCATTCTTCCATCTCGTCGCGGCATAGAACCGGCCCCGACGCGGGCACTAGAGATGACAGCGCCGACTCTATGCTGTACCCGGATTTGTGAAGCGTGTCCATTGCGTGGAACTGTTAGGGTGATAAAACAAACTTTTGTGAAATAAAATTGACTTATTGAAAGCTCTTTGGTATCGTCCAAGGACATCTTTTAGCTGATGAGAAGAATGGGCGCAAGAAACTCATCAACATTTAACAATAGTAGCAACATTTACATAAAATCATGTTGCTACCAATACAACGTCTACGCACTGCTTTTGATTGCTGTTGACAGTACAAATACAAATACGTGTTTATATTAGGTATAAAATTAGATAACTTTTCGATAGTAAAGTAGTATAGAACAAACTCATCTCCGCTGGCAGCACCCGTTCACGAGCATGACGCATGAACCAGCCATCGCTTCGCTCACCCATATTTTAAGGAATGTTACGACCCGCGTCACACGGCAATATATATATGCCTTATCAATAAGGTTTAGTTTCTATTAGGAACACCATCGGCCGATAGTTTGTAATGATCGAGACAATGTCGCTAAATGCGAATGCCCGGAGGTCACCCGTCTGTTTCATGGTACTCGGACAACATTTCAACTTTTGGAAACCGGTAACTGTGTATAGTTGTGACCGATTATTATATTTAAGTATGATGAAGCTTCTTGAACAGTAACATATAGACTTAGAAAATTAAATGAGCAACAATTGCGTGAAATTGACAACTTCTTATAAAGAAAGAAAATACAGACAATAAATAGACCAACTATGGACCGCCATATTGCTGGGTCTTTCTCACGCTCGTATTATCAGTTTTTTTGACAAGCCAGCGACTCCGACTCCCGAGTCGGTGCGGGAAGTGATAGTATGCTTGCTCATAAGGGTGACGTCCCACCACCGTAAGGAACTGGTCAATATGCCGCCGGTCCGTCAGCCGACGCGGCCAGTAACAGGGTGCTCTTCAAAATTAAATCAATAAGGGAAGATACGGTACGCTTAGAAAAAAATATATGCGACGCAACTACATAAGTAACTTTCTAACACAACTATAGTAAAATTTTCAATCGAGCGAGCTAGACGGAACCTGTATGTTTCAACGTCAGCGCGAGTGAGTCAGCGAGTTCCACGAGACTGCATAATTATACTTGTGACCCCAGCACACGTATGAGGTGTATCGTTGTCTCTTTCTTGATAACAATGGCGAATAACATTCAAAAGAAATAGTGATTTTTATGAAAAATGCTTTTAATAGTATTATAACTGAAAAGTAATGTTGTGAGATTTGTTTTTGTGTTTTTGAACCAAATGCGCATTTTTTAATGACGGCACTCCACTTGGCTATTCGGTGTTAGGCAAACACCGTTTGCTATTTGTAATCTTAAAATCAGTCTGTCCTTTTCATTCCTTATAAACGCCATTATAAAGACAAACTGTTGCGCAGTTTACAAATAGCAAATACGAATAGCTAAGTGAAGTGCCGGCGTAAAAGCATCGAGGGAAAATCAGGTTTTGGTGAACATTTGGTTCACTGGTTTGCTAGTATAAGTGTAATCTAACAGTATGGAAGCTACATACAAACGCTCGAAATGACACACGCCCACAGACGCACGTCGCTACACGGCCCCCTTCGAGGGTTCTCGGGGGACAGTTAGTCTAGTGTGCTGCGTTAAGACGAGCGGATTTTATCTCGTTAATAAAGAAAATTGAGCGTAGTGTCGTATCTCTTCCCTTTTTGATTAAACCTAATATGATTTAATTCCACCAAACACGATACCACTAGGAACTGGTCGATCTGCCGGTGGGTCAGCCGGTGCGGGGGCTGCAGTGTGTCTCACCAGGGTGATGTCCCGGCTGGCGGCGGCGGCGGACATGTGCAGCGAGGGCTGCTTCACGCTGGAGGAGCAGTCGAGCGCGCGCGCGAACGTGCCCACCGAGCGCGACACCACCAGGAACTGGTCGATCTGCCGGTCCGTCAGACCATGCTCCGGCGTCCACACCAGCGTTTCTAGCTCTGAGCCGATGCGCGGGTCCTCTTCGCCTTCGAAACGAACAAGCTCCATCGTTTGATTGATTAACTTTAACGTGTTCTTTTTTTTGTTCAAATGAGACTGGGCGAAAGTGGTCTTAGAACCAATATCGACACCATTGTGGTTCTATATAGGAGTACCTAAACTGCACTAAAATACAAAAGGACATCAAAATTTTACCAGCCAATTATGAGAACAATTACACTTATAAAGTGTAATATATAATTCACAATTTCTTTGTTTATTTAATTTTGATCGTATTTGCCTTGTGTGATGTATTTTTATTTTTTTGATGTATACTTCAAAAATACCATAAATAAATGTTAAGTTGCTTTATTTCTTGGATAATTGAGTACCTAATAAATATCGACAAGAAATATACTGGCTACTGAAGTCAAATACAGACAGAAATAACCGACATTAACATCTTAAGCAAAATAATGTAGTTAAACATAATATGTAATGAAATTTTCTAGAAACTTCCGGGTCAAATTTTGATGCCACTTTGTATTTAAGTGTAGTTGAGGAGCTCCCTACATAAATATCGCAACTGTGTCGGTACTGGTTCTTGGACGAATTCCCATACAAATTTTCCCAGTCTCCCTTATCGATTTCAACCAAGTTCATCAAGCATGGAGGGAGGTGAATCGTCTTATTTCAATACATCGATCGTTAAGTATTATTAAGATATAGATGTTATTAATAAATTTCGTTGCAATACACTCAAAAAAGATTTTTAAATTAATTCTGATGTTAAGTTAGTGAATATTTATTACTGGCAACTTGACAGGGTTGAAGTAAGACAATCAGCCTCATGGTGTTATATTAATTTAAAGTAAGTTAAACTATAAACGCACACAAACGTAGGCAGTGTTTTAGTTTGTAAATCACAAGATTCTTGGTTCTAGTACTTAGTAGGAACAATTTTTGTAATTTACTATACTTAATTAAATACAAAGCACAAGTTTTGACCCGTGTATGGCTTTAATAATAAATTTATACATAATCAGAAACAAGGGTCAACTATAATAATACGGGACAAAAAGTCGATCGGAAACTTAATTCTTGACTGCATAAACGGTTAAAAGCCTTTTGGCTAATAAGGTGATTACAAACATTTATGCAGGATAGTGAATGATTTTTATAGATAGATATCCCTTTTTAAGTAGTCAAAAATATCAGTTGGTTAATTATTACAGGTTGTCATTTTCATTTTTGTATAACAGAATTATTTCAAATATAGTTTTTGTGCTGTTTGTGAACCGTCATATTCCAAAAGCCATTTTTTACATTAATTCTGAATATAAAAATTAGATGCTTACCTTCTTTTAATAAATTAGTTACTTCAGTCTGATATCTACTTCCAACTCTGATTTCTCCCTTATCTGCTAATAAAGTCTTTTGTGAAGGATCAAATACTAAACAATAAAAAAATGCGTCCTGAAACAAAACAGAACAGTGTATCAATGTATGGTTCATACATCACAAACAGTATTCACGGGGCCAAAACTACTTTCATCAGATGAAAAAGGATTCATACATATTCATGTAACATTATGGCATAAAGCAATACAGAGGAGCAGCTCCCTAGTAACTGGCGAAACGGCCACACTCTTATGGGGATGCCGGAAAAACGTAGTTGATTTTAGGGTCGAAATTCGGTCCCGTGTGTTCATCCGTCCGTTTAGCTTGTTTCTATGGAGTACTCCTCCTTGTATAATTTATTTTGTGATTATGGTATGGACTCCTAAGTCTCTTTAAATCTAAGGAAATTATCAAGTTAATTTACAATACAATATTTTAGAGTATGCCATATGATAAGCCCTAATTTTAATCAAAGCATTAATGAATGAATATGAATGAAATAAAATTATATTACAATTATTATATACAGCTGATGCATCAAAAATACTAATTTTTCCTGGATACGCGGACATAGGACTAGGCATTTAATCATAGTGTTTTAATTGCTTACCACCACTAAATCAGTGAAATTTAAGTAACCTGTGGGTGTGATACTATACTTGGATTCAACTTTACTTATGCACGGTTATTGGAATACTGAATTATTAGTACTTAGGTCAACGTTAAATAACGCTCAACTACAGGCTTTCGTTTCAGTTTTGTTTTTGTATCTCCAATTTTAAAGTAAAGCGATATTTGCATGTAACTATTCTAACATCGATTGTGTTCGGGCAAGCTTTTGTCTGTATGTCATAAATACTAATAGGTCAGTATTTCAATAGGCGTGCGTTATGTTTTAGCCAGTTACGCAACTTAGATAGTATTATAATAATAAAAGAAGTAGGGCATAGCGGATTTTCCGCTCGAATTGGAGCGCCCGACCCCCCACCTTACAGAAGACCACAGTAAAATAACACTACTTGTTAGTTGTCTTGTGTTTCTGTGGGTGAGTAAGGTTCCAGGGCTCTACGGCGCGAGTGCTACTTTTTGTATCGCAATCGTTTATAGGCTACGGTGGCCGCTTACCATTAGGCGGGTCATATGCTTGTTTGGCACCTTTTTAAAATAAAAATAAAATAGTCGTGCCTCGTCCGGTACATACTCACATCCTTATTCAGATAGCTGAGCAGCGACTCCGTCTCGTTGAGCAGCGTGACGGTGCACTTGCCGCGGATGTGTGTGGCGGGCAGCGTTTCCACGTGCCGCGAGAGGAACAGCTCGCGGTGTTTCGCTTGGTGCCGCTGCTTCGGCGCCAGCCCGTCTGTGCCTGGTAGGTCGCTAGATTCCTCCTCCATCGCCGCTGGAAACGCAAACAAAACAGGATGTTAACAATAATATTATATATGTACATAATTCTAAGGAACATTTTATCCTCGGATAAGCACGTGTCCCAAGGCGAGGCGATAACTTATAATTCAACTCGCCATGTCAAATGACCGGCAAGTTGACAAATTTCAATTTCTGATTATTTTGGTATAAAAATATCAAGTTTTTTCCATATCCATTTTATTAAAAACGGTTCGGTAGTTTAGGCGTAAAATCGCAACAGTAACATAGTTACTTCCGCATTAATAAAATTAGTAGGAATTAGTATGGTGTAACATGTTAATCATAAAATCTTCACATTATAACATAAAAAGGTATGCATCCGTCTAATAGTGGGACTTGCACATTTTGTATTTATTTGAATCATAATATTTATTTACATTCATTAAAAACGTATTGAAAACCATCCGCCCCTATTACATGCCTTACTACCGTAGTCCAGTTTTTATTTTTAATTTTATGCAGGCAATCTAGCTGACAGTACACCTGATGTAAAGAGTCACTGCCGCCCATGGTTACTTGCAGAACCAAGGGTACCACACATGCGTTGCCGGATCAGAAAGAAAAGGTTTGCCTCTGTATCCTCTGAATAGATCTAATAGCTTAGTATATTTTGCAAATAAGTTGTAATAACCTTGTAATATTTATTTATGATATTAGTGCGGGTAAGTTGGTTATTACAAACGTATAAAAGTCTCGGGCTTACCATAGTCACGAGTTTGTAATACCAATCCACACGAATGTCATACCTCGACTTCGCCTCGAGCTTACATTCGTCTACTCGTTTTTAATAACCAAGTTACTGCACTTGTATCATAAATAACTATTTCCGCACGCTCCGCTGTATGATCCCTAATTTTGAATTTTCGAACAATGTATACAACATTCGTAAATGTATTTTTGAGCAAATGTGTTTAAATGTTTTTATTTTAATCCAAGACAAGATAACGAAATGCATAGATTTAACGATCATCGTTTACAAGCGTCTACTTCTCAAGTTTCGAGCGGTATCGAATATCAAGTCAGTGCCTCGTTCTCGAGAGTAGTGGCCCATTGAGTCATCAAGTGCAGTCTCGATTAGCGATTATTGATTCCATAATTTAGTGTAATCAGATGATACTAAACTGTACAGTGTCAGGAAGGTTCCTAGATAAAATCAAATATTATATGAAGACTATGCAAATAGGTGGATGTCAGAAGCTATTTAAAACAAAAAGGTTTTAAAAGTAAAATCTAGGACCTGGCGATGAAGGTGCACTTGCACATAGAATAAAATTATCTGCACCTTATCAAATGTAAGTGCAACCTGTAACCACTATCGTCTTGACCGAATGTGCTATAGCTAATGCTTATGGCTACATCATCCCAATGAAAGAACGAATGAAAATCATTAATCTCTAGTTCGATAAATTATTAGGTATCCCAAAAGTTTTAAGCTAAAGCTATATCTTTTTTATGCGAATGCATTTTCTGTTTTGTTCCTACTTCCTTATGAGAATAATGACAGTCATTCAAGTAAATAAAGCTATCTGAGACTAGCGAAATATAAGGCCGAGGCCGCATTGGTACGGCTCCTGCGACGGCGACATGACAAGCAGAAACGTCTGTAGTGCGGCCACCGACATACATGCGTCTATATGAGTTTGAATGCACAAAATCGCCGTCGCGTCGTACCAGTGCGGCCTCGGCCTTATATTTAATCGACTATTTAGATTCATAGACTACGCACATTTGTTTTATTAAGATATCCATATTTAGTATTTCTAGTATCAGCAGAAAAGTAGCACTATTCGTGTACGGTACAACCGACTTATTTAGGTAATTCTGGCTGCTGATCCAATTCATCACCTCATCTCTCACTCCGATTTTTCCTGATTTAAGAGAAAGTAATTTCCCACAGCCAAATGACACGCTTCTTCGTTGCCATTAAATATACCAATAATGTCATGATGAATGCAATTCCCAGAGCTCTACGATGTAGGAGAACTGAAGAGCAGAGCTGTACTAATATAATCTTTACTACATTATTTTCACAAATAGACCCCACTCATTTAACATCTGGTGTTATGGAGTAATTTCCTAGACCTAGCTTTAACAAAATGCAAAATGTTTCGCAGTTGACTATAATTTATTAATGCTAATTCGAAAATAGTTGTCGTTTTTTATGATATAAGTTGTGTACGTGCGAGATATAAGTTAATGAATTTTAATCACCGACATCCCGGCCTCTGCCGCGGCAGGTGTGTCGAGTCGTGTGCGAGTTGTGAAACGTGCCCGGTGCCCGGGTTGCGATTTTTATGCGCGCCGATGTGGTGCTGACCGCCATTACGACATGCGTTATTACGCGGATCGTAAGACAACATGTCTGCCTGCCGTTTTAATAAATTTAAAAGGAAGAGACGGCATTCGCAAGCTTTTCGTTTTGGTTGTTCGCATGGAGGTCACGCCCGTCAAATATAACTTAACGAAGTGGGATTGTTTCATAACAGATAGGCAAAGTATAGATAATATCTAAGTTTGTAAGGAAATACATGATCAATCTTTGGTTCACTTATCGCATACGTAAACACCAAAAACGTCACGCCATTTCCGGCGTGCAAGTGATCGGCAACATTGTTTTTTCTCTCTGTTATTATCGTAAAATCAAGAGGGGCGTTGGCGTAGGTAAGCGCTAGGGATCGCGTCCCCGCGGCCGAGACCATACGACCCCTGCGGAGCGAAGTCAGTCGGTCCGTGTCGCGTCACCCGCCAAAAGATGCCATCGGAATCCTGCTTTGGTGTAATTTAATTAGGTCAACAAAAGGACAATCCTTTTATTGAAACGGTAATTTTCAACGTTCTAGAAAGAGAACTGTCACTAAGATTACATATTTGCTGGGACATCCCTATGTAAGCATTTCAACATGAGGTTTATTTTGAAACAGGTATTGAGAGGTGAGCGTGAGTGGCGCGTGTCGGGGCAGGGGGTGCGGTAATCAGGGGTGGGACGGCACCGGCTACTTATTATTACCAGTTAGCCACATTCCGCTCAGACACCTCGCTAATCACGACTCGTAACAATGAAGCTTTGTTTAGGAAACGCGTGGATGGTGTTAAAACGGGGGCGAAAGCGGCAGATGGCACAATACAAAAATGCTAGTGTTATTTGAAGGCCGCCTGGAAATCTCGGTCACTGACGACACGAACGTCCTTCTCCATCGAATAATGCGGCGGAGGTCGAGTAAACTCAGCGATTGCTACCTTGGAGCTATTATTGATATAAGAAGCGATGCAATGCGGAGTAGGGGAACTCCGGTCAAGTGCAAATTGAAGTACAGATTAAGGGTTCTTAACCCGTAGTCAATATTTGGTAAGATGCGGAACGGGTACCCATGTATTTTAAAGGCAATATAATTAGGTGAATTTGTATAAATATGTGATTACATTCTTGAAATTCATAGAAATTCTAAATGTATTCTTAGAGTATTTCAATTCCTCTAATGAAAGCTATAAGATGTCGAATGAAAAGAGAGCAGTCTTTCTTACAGTTAGTCACGGGAACCTAAAAAGGTTAAAAGTAACGGGGGAAAATTCAGTTCCGTAATAATATCGACATCCCACGCCGAGACGATACTGTCAAAAACTGGGGGCCAATCTTGAATATTTTAATAGGAAATTTTATCTCTTCCAATAACATATATAATATATTAAAGATTCTTGCTCCAACACCAGTAACTTCTTGTTATAATTATCCCTATCGTTTTCATAGCCATACACTCATTATAGAAACACAACTCTTAACTCTCATTTGACTGTACTCTTTTAAAGTGGAGGACCTTTCTACAGGACTAGGCTCTCCAACTGGAGTTGATAACCCGTTGTAAACTAGATTTCCCGACGATTTCCAAACGTTTTCAAACTCAGTTCTATTTCATCTATTTCAAGGTAGATTTTGTTCCTTGCATCATAAAAAGTAAAGAAAAATATCGAGTATTAAAGGCTTTTTAAGCAATCTTTATCTGAAACTTCGTTTACGGGCGTTTAGATTAGGCTCCCTGAAAGCGATCGCCTACCGATCCACCCAATCGCTGCCCGAATCATCGATAATGTTACAATCATTTACTAAAATTAATTAGAGCTTCATTAAAAGGCAGCCCATTGAGCTTGCTTGCAAGCTTGATCGTTATTAGTAACTTATTGATAATATGAATTTAATTATGTCTATTATTGTTATGTTATCAAAAAAAAACTTTAAAGCGATGAACTGCAGTTACATATGCATATTTATATACACCAAAGGTGAAATAGTCCTGGCATGCTACAATAAAAGATTGCTGAACGAAACTCAAAAAGAGACTTAAATATTCTATATAAAATTGGTAACATCTAATATGCTAGGAGGAACAATGACTTGAGACCAAAAACTAAAGTCATACTAATACGAATCGACCAGAAAAAATGGAGGTGGTCAGCGCACATGTTACGTGAAAAGTTGGAAAAGTGGAGCAGGAAGTCACAGAACGGTGACCAAGAGAGGGCAAACGAAATCAAGGAAGACAGCATACAAGGTGGGAAGATGAGTTAAACTTGGCAGCTGGACCAAACTGCAGAAGGGCTGCTCAAAACAGACAACAATGGATATCTTTGGGGGAGGCCTTTGCCAATACGCACGCCGAACTAAGAGACATTTTGTAATTCTTAGTTCTGTTTTTGTATGTAATGTTCAGTTTTGTGTGAAATGTTACTGAGTTCGGAATAAAGAGCTTATATACTAATTATGAATTGGCATAATGCCTATGCCAGAAGTCGTAATACCTTCACGTAAATAAATTAAACAAATAGTGTTCTAAATAAATCATTAAATAAATGTTGTTTAATTGTATTTCTAAACTTAAGGAGTACGATTCATAATAAAGTCAATCTTCATTCCTTAGGGGATGACCGAGCATCAAAAAGCTGCAGCACAATACCGACAGATAAGTAAAAACATATATC